CCACCCACATACAGACCTACATCCACACCTACTCATGCCCCCCAACAGACCCCACAACCACACCCATCCACTCACCCACCCACCCATACACACAGACCCCTCCACACATATCCACTCATCCCGAGACCTCCACACTCCCCTACCCCATCCACCTACCTACTCACCCACACATATACCCACTCACCCACATACACAGACCTACATACACACCCACTCACCCCCCCAGACCCCACACCCACATCCATCCCCATCCACAGACCCCCACCCACACCCACTCACACACATACACAGACACCCCCACACACACACCCCCACCAACCCACTCATCCCCCGGATAAGACTACCACCCACACTCACCCACACCCATCCTCGCCCACCTTCCCTTGCATCCCTCTCTTGGTTTAACTCTTCTCTGTGGCCTAACCCTGTGTCTTCAGCCCCCGCCTTCCACTCCCCTTCCCGCTATTTTCCTTCCAGGGGATTTTAAAGCAAATACATTGTATCATTTTACCCATACAGAACTTCTACAGAAAATACAAGGATTTCCCCCCAATCTAATCATAATACCACTTCTTTCCTAACAGAATCGCCGAGACTTCCTTATCATCATTCAACACCTGTGTTCAGTTCTGTCTGTCTCTAAAATGTCCTCCAACATTGTTCTGTTTGGGGGGAGATTCACCACAAGGCCCACACGCTGCATTTGGTTGACTAACCTAATCTATCAGCCGCCCCAGCCCCCATTTAGTTTTTGAATAAACTGCCCAACCTCTCTGAACACACAAGCTCTGAATCCCTCTGCAGGGAACGTGACCTGCGGAAGTCCAGGTGTCTACAGTTAGCCACTCCTTCTGGCCCCGTGTATGCACTTGATTTGGGTAGCCTGGGCCCAGCCCCAGCAAGGACTGCCCAGCTGCCCTGAAGCTAATTCTCGTTGTAGCAGAGGCAGGCAGGCTCCCAGTCCTTGGCCTCTGTGAGGCCACGACAGCCCTGGGGGCAGGGCGGGCAGTAAGCGGGAGCAGAGCCAAGGTAGTTCACAGAGGCACCATCTCTTTAGATGGCACAGGAGCAGGGTGATCACAGGCTAGGGGCTTGAGCCCCGCAGCCCAGCCCCCCCTTGAGCCTAGCCTGGCTGGCACACCTGGCTTCCTCTGGTGACTCACCCACCACCTGCTCAGCACATCAGCCGGTTATGGGCTGAGACAGCCCACAAGAGCAGCTGGGCTGGGGGCTGGGGGCTAGGAGTCAGGCTCAGGGCCTTAGCTTCTGGAAGGTGGCCAGGGCTTCTCAGCCTGGCGTCTGATCCCTTTGGGAGGGGAGAGGAAGGTTCTGGGCAAAGAGAGGCACCATCTGGGGCTTCATCCAAACCATAGCTGTGCCGCCTTACTCAGGCTTCACAAGTCAAGATAGTTTCCAAAACAGCCCTGCCCACTCAGGGCTCACAGCTGTGCAAGCACAGGGTCAGGCTCTGCAGTCCACACCCCCAGCGTGGCCTTCGGGCAGGCCTCGCCCGGCTGGGACCCTCCCTGCTACGGGAGGCCTGGGTGGGGCTGGGCAGGGGCGCAGGGACGGCACTCTTGCGGTGCTTGCTCTCGTGTTTTTCCTCTCACTCATGAAAACAGCTTGGCTGTGCTCAGCGCAGCAAGCTGCTGCCCCTGCGATCTGCCTGCGCCGTTGTGCCTTCCGACTGTTTATTCCCTTTTGTTTCCATCTCTGGATGCTCCAGCCAGTCTCTCTTCCACACACAAACTCCTCTCCAGGATAAGGGCTTGTTCGGGCCTTGCGGGAACCCGCGGGGATGGGTCAGATCAGAAGCCTCCCTATCTCAACCTCACTGCTGGCAGCTGGCTCTGCAAACGCTCAGCCGCTTAGGGCAGACACTGAGAGCGAGAAGCAAGGATCCCTCAGGAAGACAGGCCTCCACCAGCCTTCTCGGAGGCAGGGAAGATGTGGTGGAAGCTGATTTCCAGAGAGGCAACTGGCCACACAGCATGTTGCTCCTGGGTGCAAATCCTGGCTTCCTCCTCACCTAGGACAGGAAGCCAGGATCTCAAGTGTCTGCAAAGACCCAACGACCTGCCTGCTGCTCCCTGGAGCTGGTGCCCTGCCTGGGCCTTCTGACCAGACACAGCCCCCGCCTCTCCCTCCCAGCTGTTGTTCCACAGCCACCTTCTCAGTAAGGCCCACCTGCCCAGGTTCCCGTCTGTCTGCCTATCTGTCTGTCTGTCTATCTACCTATCTATCTATCTATCCATCCATCCATCCATCCATCATCTATCATCTATCTATCCATCCATCCATCCATCATCTATCATCTATCCATCCATCCATCCATCCATCATCTATCATCTATCCATCCATCCATCCATCCATCATCTATCTGTCTATCTATCTA